CGCCACGGATCACAAGCCTCTTCTACCTCTGTTCAACAACCCACATGCAAAACTCCCACCAAGGATCGAGCGGATGGTAATGAAGATGCAAAATCTAGACTTCACCATGACACACATCCCAGGTAAAGAAAACGTAGCTGACTACATGTCGAGACATCCACTACCGGATAAMAGCCACGACAACACAGAGCAACACGTGAAAGCAGTGACAACAACAGACCACGCAATTGTTCTAGACAAAATTGCAGCAGAGACAAAAACTGACACAGAACTGGCTACAACATCTAAAACATGCCATGGAAACCGGAGTCTGGAAGAAGAATGACCCTGTGCTGAAACCATACACGGATCTCAAGGCCGAAATCTACGAAGCGGAGGATGTCTTACTCCGACTCAACCGGATAATACCACCACAACGACTACGAGACAAGATTGTACGTATAGCACACAAACAAGGACATCTAGGAATTTCAAAAACCAAAGCGATGATCAGACACAAATACTGGTGGCCAGGCATGAACTCGCAGATTGAGAACATTGTTAACTTAACACTTGCTTCGAATGCCAAATCGCGACAGGGACAACAAATGTACAACCAGCAAAGATGACAGAACTCCCAGAGAGACCATGGACGACAGTAGAAGTAGACTTCTGTGGACCGTTCCCAAACGGTGAATACGCACTCGTGATAASGGATCAGTACTCCARGTACCCGGAAGTAGAATTCACTAGGACGACAGCGTTTGAAAGCACAAGAAAGAAACTAAAGAAAGTGTTTTCCACACACGGCATCCCGGAAGTAGTACAGACAGACAATGGACCACCCTTTAACTCACACGCCTTCCAGGATTTCGCAGATGAAATCGGATTCAGGCACAAACGCATCACTCCTCTACACCCGAAAGCGCAAGGTCAAGTAGAAGGATTCAACAAATTAGTGAACAAGATCGACGCAATCGCGAGACAAGACGGTATTGACCCTCACGAAGCTATTACTAACAGTAAAATGGTTATGCTTAGGAATGAACTCTGTTTAACACATGTAAAGTCAACTAATTTGATGTTAACTGGAATGTCACATGTTTTGCAATGTCTTTATAATAGAAATTGAGTAATGACTTTTGTAGAGTCATCTAGAATCATTTGCTTAGAACCTGACTTCAGCAGTAGATCTTCTAACTCACCAAGATCAATGGTATCAATGTTTGTGTCACTGTTGATTGAGGCTAAGAAAGCATCATTAAAACATGTGTAGTTTTGAAGTTTTCCTGTTGTTAGTTTGATCAGCARCTGGCCAACAAGCTTGTTGTTGCAATTTTCCTCTAGTATTGTCATTTGATAGYTTTGACATGTGATCTTGCCTTGTGATGCTGATTCCTTAAGGCAACTATTGCATGCTATGCATGATGGCTCTCTCCTCCACCACCAACATTTAACGGCCTTAATCCATGTCTTAACATTCTGTATTGTAATGTAAAATTAGGGTTACTAAACTATCTTGTCTCTTAGCATATTTCAAATTCCACAGCTTGTAATTTGTAGCAATATTATATAAAACAGATGTAATAGGTACTTTTTTTGTAAGTAACTTCTTGAACTTCTTTCTGAGAAACGTACAAAACGTACAAAATGAATTGCGTGAATCCAAACCTTGTCGTTCTTTACAAGAATATTTTCTCATAAGGGATTCATTTTTGTTCGTTTTTATTGCCCCATTTCTGGGTCGATACGTTTGGCACTCGAAGCGGAGTTGTGTATTTGCTCCCATGAAGGGAATTTTTGCTCCCATGAAGGAAATTTCTGCTCCCATSAAGGGAATTTTTGCTCACATAAAGGGAATTTTTGCTCCCCGAGGGGAATAAAGGTAGAACGCAAGGCTCGGATTCATCGATTTGTCGCCATAATCTGGGTCTTCATGCTTCACTATTTTTCTTTGCACGTAGCGACGAAAAATTGTCTAAAATCCTAAAAAGATCTACATCGAACACTTCTTCACAGCGCCGTACAAAACTGTGCCTGATTCTTGAAGCAAAAAACATTGTATGAAATATAGATATATAAATACCACTCACCTCAGAGTTGCAGAGTTGAACAGTGCGAAGAACGAAAAGCACRTGGAAACCACATTACAATCGATAAACAATCGTAGCCACCTCGTGAAAGGATGTGTGGTCGCAAAAATGTCGGGAGATCGTACAATGATCCAAAAAAGACGAAAACAACAGAAAATAACAATAAAAACAGACAAAAATAACACAAATATATTCTATCGACCATGTTCACTGAATTATATTTACCTGATACTATTTTATTCGCCTGTAAATTAGTACCGATTCACACCCGAATAATCTTCGATTTTCCGAAAATGACTCACTCTATCACAACTCGATACCATTGCTGCTTCCATCTACGATGAGAAGCTGCAAAAATAAGTGAACATGTTATAACAAACTATTTTAAGCGTGACTGATTTCACTCTTGTTTGATCTAAATCGTGCAGCAGCAAGATGGAGAAACTAGACTGATATACATACGTTGATGTCTTGATCCATCGGATGATGCGATTGGATGTTACCCACACGAAATTGAAACTATGTATATAGTATGTAGAAGCTATGTTTTTGGTATGTCTGACTTTTTCTTGGTATGGTTTAGGTATGTAGAATTTTACCATACCAAATACATACCATACTCAACATACCACTTAAATACCAAAATAACAGTAGTCAATCTACATACCAAATACATACTTACTATGACATACCTTATATATGCATATCATGTGACACACTTGTGAATTATACATACCAGTTACATATCAGGGTTATTTGACATACCTATTACATACCTTTACCAAAATTARTCGACACCCTGATCCATTTGCATCAATATTTAAAACATGTTGATCAATACATCATTCAATACTAATCTAAAATAATTTCACTATTATCTGCAATTGAACAGTTCAACTAAGAAGAGGTAATTATTTTCATTATTGGTGCTAATTACTATATTTTGTTGAAACCATTGGTAAAACTGTGAATTTAGATTTGATTGAAATATTTTATTGCAGTTGTAATTAGGTTAACAATGCTGAGTGTTTTGTTGGCATTGACATTGCCTACTGAGTGTTCCAATTTTTTGGATAGCTACGGAATTTCTCTGTTATGGCCAACAGTTCCAGTTTCATAGACCTGTAATTTTGCATGTTCCTTTCTGGTTCTCGGAGACGACGACTTGCATAGGCTATGACATGACGTTTGCCATCTTTTTCCTGAGACGGATGAAACGGCTCCTAGACCCTGGTGACTTGCATCCGTCTCGAGTATAAAARGCAACGAGAAATCTGCAAAGCCAAGAACTGGAGCTGGACATCTGACCAATGTTCCGGGAACGGTGATTTGAGTCGCTTCTTGGATTTGATCTCATGAAGAYATTTGGTTTGAAGATCGTGTAGCGGGCCTGCTACCTTTGCCAAGTCTTTCACGAATCTTCGGTAGTAGCTGTTAAACCACCGCAAAAACGATCTCAGTTCCTTGACGCTAGTTGGTACCTTCCACTGTGAAACTGCTAGGATCTTGCCTGGATCAGTTRAAACACCTTTGTCGGACACGACGTTTCCTAGGTAAGACACCTGCTGTTTGAAGAATGTACATTTTTCGAGTTTAACCTTGAGGCCATGCTTTGCTTAAACGGGTTAATACGAGATCAATCCTTTCCAGATGTTCTTCAAACGACTTGGAGAATATGATAATATCGTCCAGGTACACTAACAGGATTTGGAAGATCTGTTCATTGAGGCAACTCTGCATCAGCCGTTGAAAGGTTGCGGCTGCATTATAGAATCCAAATGTCATTCGATTGTATTCGAATAGTCCAAATGGTGTTATAAAAGCACATTTCTGTTTGTCTTCTTCATCAACAGCAACTTGGTTAAAACCATTGGCAAGGTCTAACTGCGTAAACCATTGTGCACCATTGAGTGCGTCTAGTGATTCGGTGATACGCGGAAGTGGAAAAGAGTCTTTCATTGTCTTCTTGTTCAGTTTCCTGTAGTCTACGCATATGCGAAGAGAACCATTTGTCTTATGTACCAACACAATTGGCGAGGCGTATGGACTATGACTTTCGCGTATTACAGATGATTCAACAAGCTTCTTTATGTGCTGCTTTACCTCTACGTATTGACTAGGAGGGATGCGACGGAACGGCTGAGTAATTGGAACATCATCATGCGTCCTAATCTTATGGGTGACAGTGTCCGTGTAGCCGATGTCGTCGTCTTTTGCAAATGTGTTCACATGTTTTTCCAGTACATTTCTTACTTGTGCTTGTTGTTTGTCTTTCAGATCGGACGTGGAGAGATAAGATGAGAATCTTGAGTCGGTGTGATTAAAATTAGTAGCGAAAGTGGCTTTTAAGGATTTATTAAGTACGACCATTTCTTCATTTACTGCGACCCTTTTGAAATCTACGTCAGATTCGACAGCATCGACTTTGTGTAGGGATCCGATCTTTGTTCTTGGTTGAAGCCATTTGTCTTCAGAACTGAGGTTGACGACTTGGACGAGAAATGAACGAGTGTTACTTACAATAGTGTTAACTAGTGAGACATCGGATGAGTGTTCATTTGATAATGGCTCCGCTATCGCTAGGGAGTGTTCTTTGATCTGGCAACTCCAGCCAGTTTCCTCGATTGTAGTTACGGAGTTAGCTGGAACTCTAACTGGTTTTCGTCCAGCCACTGTCACCAGGCCTAGCACCGAGGATCGCTGTTTACACTCTGCTCGAGTAATGGCTTCACTCCATACTGGTCCCAGATTTAACCAAGGTGTCGACGTTTCATTGTTTCGGGCTTTCTCATTTGCTTTACTTAGCACATTCATCCCAAGGAGACCAGGAATTCTCTCTTTTCGCTGTCTTGCTGTTGGTGATGTTGGGTCTTTAATCACTCGGAAGCCACGTTTCTCAATAGTCTTACCAAGGACTTCTATATCTGCTTCAAAGTAACCAAGAAAACTCGGAATTTCCAAGCCATTAGCTGCAGTAATTGATAACCATCCTGAGGTAGAGGTAAGAGTCTGTCCCTTTGGTTTGAAAKGACGCTTGAAAAAACTTTCAGTTATCGTAGAAACTTCAAAGCCAGAGTCAAGTAGATAATTAATAGCAACGCCATCAACCTTAACCTCCACTACAGGACACTTGCCAATCGCTCTCTCACAGATGACCTCAGAGCATGGGCTTTCCCTTGGCTCAAAACGACAGGGGGTGCTGGTTTGACGCCATGGTATTAGGGTGAGCTGTTGATTGTTGCTGCAGGCTGGATGGTGCGGGTGGTGGTGTGAACGCTGGTGTAGTTCGGCAGTTTTTGGCAATGTGTCCGGGTCTTTGGCAGTTGAAACAAACGACCCCCGGGCGTCTTCTCCTGTTTTGACCACCAGGGCGTTGTCGTTGGCTTTTAGTCATCGCAGCCAATGTCTCCATCAATGGGGCAAGTGTTTTTCCGTGCTCCTCCGACGTTTTCATCACTTGTTGCATCTCATGTGGATTACTGGTTGTCAATTGCTGTGTGGCACAACTGACATCTGTGAACTCCGGTTTTCCTTGTTGGCTTTGTGGTTCCTCCTCCTCACTAAAGCAAGGCCTCTTCACGCACTTCTAGGAATGTGGATGTAGGCRTTACCCTGATCATTCGTCTAAGCTCTTTTCTTAGCAGAGGGTCCGTCACGTTGTCTGAGAATTGGTCCCTGAGGGACTGGTCGCGGGTGGTCGACGCTGCTGGGTTTCGGGATGTGATTCTTTTATGTAGTTTACATAGGGCGTGCGAATAGCCTCAAAGGCTTTCGTTTTCGCTTTGTTTRCGATCATAGAAAATTCTCAGAAGCTGTGGAAGGGAGCGCCTTTTGCCAAAGGCTTCGCGTAAAATTTTATATATTTTCTCACCCTTATCTCGTTCAGTCGACGGTCGCAATTTGACTTCCTCTTTTGCTGGACCTTCGAGATGGCTAATAATGTATTCTGCCTTTTGAATCTCCGTCATTTTGCGGTTCAGCAAGGCGGCATGGCTATCGTCTATAAAGTCTTCTACGGTGTTTTCCTCTTTTTGACCTC